TCCCGCAGGAATCGGGAGCCGATGCCGATGAGGTGGACGCGTGTGGACTGAGGAGAATTCCATGCACAAGGCAACGCGACCTCAGCAGGGATCGCTATACAGAAGCGCTGTTGTGCTGCGTTACGGATGCGGCCACTACCAACTGCCGCACTCCAACCCAGACGAACTGCAGCGAGACACCCTACAAGGCTTGATACACTTTTCACAGCGCCTTGCATGCAATGAACATACCCCTGCCCCCTCATAAACTGAGAGAAAACATCTTCCGAATGTCGTGCGCAAAGTGGTAGAGATTCCGCATAAACCTATCCTAAGGACAAGCAAACAGCCCACACATACAAAGTAACGAAACGACGCGAGCTGCCAGGGCCATGCAAAAGTGCTGTCTAGTTTCCCAGCAGACAGTAACCCACCTTATTTGCCGGCGTTAGGTCATCTTCAATGTTTACCATCAACTCCATGAAGAAGCCCTCCACTCTGCACAGGAAACAAGAGCGCTTCCAGACAGATGGAGGCCACAGCATGCGAAACTCACAACGGCCCTGCGGGCACAGCATTTATTGATTAAAATGGAGCACTCATCTTTTCCTTACTGTGGTCTCTTGCTCTCGATTTGCTGCTCAATTATCTGTTGCTTCAACTTCAAGTATTCATTTTGTTGCAGCACAATCAGACCCAACAAGACACCCGATATTGCGAACAGGTTCGGCAGCTGCCCTGAAAAGCCACAAAATCATGGTACAAAATACAAATCCAATGGATAATGAACACCCAACCGATGAAACATGAATGGCAAATCAGACAGCGTAAACTAATTAGTGGATAAGTTCCCCGTGGCCTGCACTATAGCTATAGCTTCCAACAATCTATCCTCACGACAAGCCACGATCTAGAGGCATAACAACTTGACGCCATATGCCCCTCTAGTAATGTTGTATGCAAGCGCATAGAACATCTACTAGAGAGGCAAACGGCCTGAATCACTCCCTAGACCACCCGGAGAATAGGCGAACCACTACACACTTGCATCCCCCCACTTAATTGCAAATACATACCTGTCATGAGCAGCTGGAATATCAGCTGCAGCATTCGCGGCAAACTGCCCGGCTGTGCCTCAAGGAATGCACGGACGGCCTGCGTGACCCCGCAACCACACCACCTTACTTTTCCTACGCAGTTACATGCATATTTACCCTCCATTACATGTATAGAAACTAACCACCTGCAGTATCTGCGATTCATCCGGAACTCCGGAAACGTCACGCCTCGGGCACGGCAAATGAGGCCAGCTGTATTGATGCTATAGTAGTTAAGTCTGCAGGAGTGTGCAGTTCAAAACTGACGAGTCAACACCACCATGTCCCAAAAGGCAAAGCTAGTCTGGGAAGATATTCCCCAATGAAGCGCAAGCGCGACAAGAAATAGAGGGAAATTGGGAAAATGGAAAGCGGCCAGTCTTACATCTCCCTCCTTCTCCTCGGAATTCCTGTACTTGAAGATGAACTCAACAAAATGGCCCAAGGTGGCGCATGACTGCATCAGCACTGTTTCTTGTGCACAGAGGCCGTCCTCAACACATCGCAACAGTTGGGCTAGGTGGGCTGGCGGTAACTCTAGAATCTGCAAATCCAGCAGACGCACAGCTATGCATGAAACCTTGGTTAGCAGACGCACAGCTAACCAAGGTTTCATGCAGACGAAAAGTGGTGACAACAGCAACAATCTTTTAAGCTGAGGAGCCCCAAATACACATATGCGAAATGGGCAACCTCCGCGCATCGACCAGTAAGCCAACACCGATGGAAAACAACTTCTCATTGCATGCTTGAGCTGTATGCTACAATATGCGGGAATGCTCGGGGGCGGGCCAAAAACAGTGGGGACAGGATCGGAGACGTCATGAAGAAACGTACGTGTTGCATGAAGGACTCCGTGGCAACTTCAAGGAAAGAATAGACAGGCCTGAGGGACTTCAAATAGGCCATCAAATCTGGCGGACAGTGGGGAGTAAAGCAAGAATCACATGCGCAGACCTTGTCAGTCCCACAAAAAAAGGCATATTTGCTATGACTCGTGCAGCCTGACCATCCAAGAGTTCAATATTCAGGCGTGCGCATGGAACTACACATATGGCTCACCGTCCTGGGGAATTGCAAGACACATCTGGAGGGCAAGACGAAGGGAGTCGCTTAGGACTGTGTCCCCGTAGACCTTGAAGACCTCATAATTGCAGTATGAGCCACTGATGATGTTGCTCAGGATCTGCAGCGCTACAGCCATCCCCTTGTACTTTTCCTTGTAAGTGTCGGTAAAGTCCTGTTTCTGCAGTATCCTGAAAACAGGAGGAAAGACGCATGCATGATGCAGTTGAAACAAACAGAAGCAGCACTAGTACCTCTCCAACATGAAGAAGCAGGACAGGAGGTCGCGAGTTCAGATATACAGTGACTAGAGGTCCACCTGTTGCCGTATTTAAGCACCACACTCGATGCTTCCTTGAAAAGCCGGATGCCATTTGCGGAAGACTCAGCAAATTGTATCCTGCTGCCTCCCCTGTTGCTGACAAAATCGGCAATAAACTTTAAAAGGGGAACCATAACTTCAGCATCATCCCACCAACCATCCGCTGCCCAGCTAAATATTGCCATCTGACAGACAGTGCACACCCAACCGGCACAGTTTTGAGATGTCCCCCTTTCGCCTCATCCCAATCCCATCAGGAGGCTTGCTGGCAGATAGAAAAGCCACGGAAGCTGTAAAACAGCCATATCTCACGCGAGTGCTGCCGTTGATCTTCTTCGCCGGCGACATCAACCACTCAAAAAGGACTGTGTACGTTGAGCTATTTCCAGACGCGAAACTCAGCCCCCTACGCCAAGCAACAGCAGGTTTAGACTACACATGGATGGGCAACGCCAGTCATACCTACGGTCTTGAATACTTCTGTGCATACCAACAGCCACAGCAGAGGTTTCTTGCTGGCCTACCTGAGATCTCGCACGAGGCCAATCAGGGGGTCCCGACAGAGCGGATTGCGGATCGACCCAGGGTTTCTTCCTTCTTCGGTTTGCTGCCACAACGATACAAAAATGGCATCCATAGGCTGCACGAATTGCTCAAAAGTAACGGCAGCTTTACGTTGCTGATAAAATAACAATGTCCCAAGAGTAAGATAGTAAGTCGTCCGCAGTCTCGAATACCTACAATAAAGCACCAGCAGCGCGCATGGAAACTGGAGGCCTGCCCGTCAATACTATACGACCGATCGGCGCATGCAAATCCCGCTACAAGCATGCAAACAAATGTAACTTCGCAGCCTGTTGCATCTTCTTATAGGGGTGGACCAAGTGCCTACGGCTACCGTGAAACGAACAATAGTCGCTCAACGAATGCAGCAACTGCGTGGTAGCATGAAAGATAAACAATACACGAGCTTTACTTGGAGTAGCGGAGAGAGCCAACAATCAACACGACGCACCTGCGCATAGAAAGGAACTTGAACTCGGCACTGCAGTGATTCGTCAGGAAATAGCCGCCAGTGGGTGTTTCCAGCAGCAACCGGCCCGTGACAATGAGCTCTGGAGCCCGGGAGATCCAGTGGACGATGTGGACCCCGGCCACAAACTCAAAAAGAAGATCCATGGATTTTTTAATACACTCAGGCATGTCGACTCGGTGCTGCAGATTGAAACCAATCTTGCTCACCAAGGTCGCTACCACCGCCTTGTCGTCTGCGGCGCCCAGTGCTGCAAAGAGAATAAAGGCACATGTCATGATTCTGCTCCCTTTCACTCAAACGCCAACAATGAATTGTCAAGGCAGTCTAATAAGGTAGGCTACT